TCTATTTTCGTGTACAGGCCGTAGCACATGAGGCTTTGGTGTCTTGTCCCATCCAAACAAAAATATGATTTTTAATGTCCTTTCCTCCATAACCCTCTTTAGAAAGTAACTGGAGACTTATTCCACAAAGACACTTTATGAGTCTTACAGTTTTTATATGGAACAATTTTTATATTCTAGATTGTAATCAGAACTTCACTGGAGAAAATGGACAGATCTTTAGTCCTGGTTTTCCAGGTCGTTATCCAACAAATGCTTATTGTTTAATACGTATAACTGCCCCGACTGGACGTTCTGTTTCCTTATATTTTAATCAATTTTATATTGAACGACATTCCACGTGTAGATTTGATTATCTAGAAGTAAGTAGCTGTTATTTTCATAAGCCCAAACACTTAATTCAACAAGGAACAAAAACGAGGATGTAATGGTGTCAAGTATCAACGCAAAAATAGAAATTATGGCCAAAAGAAAAATATTTTTGCAGAAGTGGCAGCGAAGCATGTATTAAAGTAGCTGAATTTTGTGTAATTGCTGTATTGTTACAAAGAACCACTTGATTTCTAAATGATTAAATGGCTATTGTAGTAAGAAGTAATAAAAATGTTCAAATATCTTCAAATAAAAAAGTATAAAAAAAGATTTCTGTATTATTTAAAGTTTGTGAATAAAATGTCCAGTGTGGTGTTTCAGGTACATAATGGAACAAGAGAAACTAATACTACAGTTAGTAAACTCTGTGGTAATACCTTACCAGATCCTATCTTTATATCAACCAATCAGATTTTACTTAAATTTGTCACCGATAGTTCTGTTACTCATACAGGATAAATATAAGAGATGGATACTGTTTACAAATTTTGACTATAATAGAACAGGCATGTTGGCGGACATTTTTTACAGCTCTACTTCTGGTACTCTTAGTTTGACCAGGAATGTTGAAGATTACAGAACCAAATATCTGAAATTTATAAATGAGAAATCCAAATTTTTTCACAAGTAATGTCCTACATTTGAGAATTTTGTGTAGATACAGTAACTGCAAAAG